CAGCTTTCAGTGATCATCCTAAGCCCGCTTAACACTTATCAGCTGTTTGAATCAAATGCAGTGAAAATTCTCGAATTCACATCATATAGTTATGGAATTAAAGTCATCTCGTTGTTTACCTTATTGTTCATTAATAAGCTTTACTTTGTAACAATCACGTGAATGATGACTTTTGCGATACAACACGACATGTCAATCCTCCCACGCTTCAAACCTCAAAACATCACACGAAGTTTCCTCTAAATACGTCGTCCCTCCTAGCAGACGGGGTGAGAAGCGGCACGGTGATGGCAGTCTCACCAGCTTCCGCTGAGCGTTCCCCGTTTATTCCGAATGGCACGGGCTATATGGGGCGGGCCGGATCGGCGCTTAGCCAGCACTATCTGCGCGCGGCGCGGCCTCCGAGACCGGCAGTTACTCGTGGGCCTCAGCACTTCGGCGCCGCCTGGGAGCCACAAAGTTGGGCGAAAACAAAACCCAGTCGACCAGAAGCCGGAGATGCAAGGTCAGCACTGCTCACAAACGGTAAGAATGGAAAGGAGCGCGGTTTGAATACGTCAAGAACCGTTGAATTGGAGCGGAGTACGGCTGGAAAATATCACAAACTGTGCTCACAGATAGGTTATTGGTTAACTTAGCTCACCAGTTAGTAGCAGGACGAGGTGAGGTTCTCTGTCCTTACAGAAAGAGTGCCACAGTGCTCATATAGCATCACACAACCACCAGCGCAAGCACGGTCAGAGCAGCGAGGCCAATGGATGCCAAACCTCGCGCTTCTTCCAGACACACCAAGCGATGGCTGCGAAGTGAGGCACCATCAATCGCCTACGCCCATGCCTCTGTCATAAAACATCGTAAGCACCAAACACGGATTAGCAAATCTTCATAAATAATCTTCAGTCATCGGTGTTCTTTAACACTATTTCCTATATCCATGTAGTGCACCATCAGATGAATCCATCGGCCCATTCGGACCGGCAGCGGCGGCTCCAAGAATCCCGCTCCCCAGCCCGTCGGTAGCTGCGGTTTCTCGGGGCTGTGGTAAATCCAAGAGTCCGCTCCCCCACCCCGTCCGTAGCTGCAGTTTCTCAGGGCTGTGGTAAATCCAAGAGTCCGCTCCCCCCACCCCATCGTCAGTGGCGTCGGCGCGCCCTCCCCCGGCCGTCGTATCCCGGACCCTTTATGGCAGGTGGTAAAATCGCCGTCGGCACCCGCGAGACGCCGTCGGCCAGAAAACGTCGACCGGAGGCGGCAAACAAAATTAGCGCGCCGCCCGGCCCCGGCGACGGTTTACGGCCGCGGCTCCTTCGAGCGGCGCCAGCGGCGCATACATGAGCGGCGCGTCACCTATACCGACACCGAACGCTCTAATTAACAGAGCGAGCAGTGCGCCCGACGCACAAACACACTGCCAATGGGGCCGCCCCGTGGCACTATGGTTGGAAACGGCCTCACGGATGGCCGTGGGCAATTTCGGAATATATGTATATTTGGGGTGTCATTCTGTTGGAAATTGATGAAATGTTTTGAATTGGGCAGAAGAAATTATTTAGTTGCGCATTTAGTCTCCATTATTGTACGTGGAATCGGGAGTTTCTGAGAGTGGCTTTTTTGGTGCGCCGTCAAAGGTTTAAACAACCGCGCTGGTCATAGCATGTGGAGTACCTCCATGACGTTGTAAAACTGGATTATTATATATCAAAATAATCCTTGATATGTTGGCTATCGAGTGGAGTGACTCTTTTTCCCATGCGTGTTCAAAATCAGGAACGGCATTGCATTCTGTTTGCAGTGTCATCACAGCAATATTTGCAAAATTACGTTTATGTTTCATTGGACATACAAAAAGTTCTCCATCGACCTCCATTGAGCTTTTTGGCAGAATAAGTCTCTGTTCAATTCTGCGTAAGGGGAACGTAAAAGCAGACTGCGCACTTGTGCGCAAAATCGTCCGTGAAGCTTCATCTCCCGAGGCGTACCTACCCGTCGCTTCGTTAGCACCAGGTCGGCTCGTCAGTCTTGCAATCGCTTATCCTTATAAATGATGGTAATAAGCAGGGTTGCGGAGTCGTGGTGGCGCCAAATCCGACTCCGACTACGACTCCGACTCCTGATTCGTTGCCATGACTCCGGCCGACTCTGTCTCCGACTCCGGACCCCTGCCAGTGTTTCGGAGTCGTGATGGACCTGTTCCGATTCGGACCGACTCCGACTTCCACTGCGGGCTCCTGACCGACCCCGACTCCGACTCCGACTCCTGGCTCGTTGCCACGACTCTGGGCGACTCTGGCTCCGACTCCGACTCTGACTCCGACTCTGACTTCGACTCCGCACCCCTCGTAAGAAGTAACTGCTCGCCGCTGCACCTGGAGTATGGATATCGTGCAAACGTGTATGGATATCCTGGAGTATGGATATGGATATCCACCGACAGAGCAGACATACAGACATGCTGTAAACGCCATTACACTGCCAATACCATGGCAAATCAAATGGCTATCTATGGTTTTTGATCATCGTTCTACATTTCCCAAAATCTTGAACTGAATGTTGGCAATTTCTCGTGACTACTTCACGACCATGATGCATGCATTTCTGAAATTGATCTTTTTTCAACCAGCTACGTACTCGTATGATAAAATGAATGTCACCATCGTGTTCTACGCCCAAAAGTACCCATAAAAGATGTGTCATGCATGGGCTGCGAATAGGTACCAGTTTTAATTTTCGGGGTTATGTGCTTACCTGATTGACCTGACTTTGACCCTGGCCAGTGGCCTATGTTTGACTGACCCCTACATTGATCTGACACTCTTTTAGCACTTATATGAAGGGTTGTGACAGTTGTGACAGTTGTGACAGATTGTTTAGGACCAACTGATGACTGAATTTATTTAGGACCAACTGATGACGATAAAATCGAAACGCGAAACGCGAGGCACCGATTGCGAGGTTCTAAAGTCCATGCTACTGAAAACCCGATTTCAAGTGTTTGACCTGACCTTGACCCGACCTGTGACCTCGAAATTCAACTTTAAAGTATTCATGTGAATCGTCTCGTCGCGTTCTTCTTTCGCTTGCCGCGCCTCGTGCGTTTCGCTGCGCCTATTTGTTCGCGAGTTATCGGCTGGGGGGGTTGAACGCCCCCCCCCCCCGGCAAACGGCGGATGGGGAAATACCCCAGCAACTGCCGGGTTAATCTGACGCATGTTTTGTCATATGATCGTCATTTTATTTCTTACTTTTTTGCCCAATCTAAAAAAAAATCATAAATACTCTTTCTCCAATTTTTTGACCCTTTATGACCAATAGTAAGACACTGTGCGTCACTACGTTGATATTTCTTGCCCTAAAGCATAACAACAATATCCATTCAGTAATAGCAGTATTCAAAACATGTTCAAAATGCCTCGCGATATCGATAACATAACGAAAGACATAGGCGACTTATAACATACTTGCAATGATGACGTCACACACGCGTGACGTGACGTGACCTCGTCATTTCTGAGTTACTGTATGATGCACGAAAGACACTGGTATACCTATGCAAAGTTTCATCGCAGTCGGTCTACGCATTAACAAGTTATGGGCAAAACATTTTTTCGCGTTGACCCCCGGCCATCCGTGAGGCCGTTTCCAACCATAGTGCGTGGGGACAATTAAGCCCCGCGTAATTGTTTCCCGTCACAATTTAATAGACTAACTCCACAGTTGAGTGAAATATACAATGGAGTTTAAGTGATTTGCAGACTATTTCTAATAAATAAATATCAAATACCGATCATGATGAATGAATGGCACAGCGTGAGTCAATATCGGCTCATGCCGCTGTATTTCTAAACTGGTGGATGCAATTTGACATTCTGAGCAGGGCCAGAGATGGTCGGCGTCGCGCGCCTGAACCGGTCGCAATTTATCGTAATCGGCCAGTTTGCAGCTCAATGGGAATACCAATTCCGTACATTTCATCAGGGCCATTGATGCAGCTCGTCAAACTCTTTGAAGCGGCGGCGCCTGATCGCCATACCGACACACCTGTGTGTGTGGGGGGGGGGGGGGCGGGCGGGCGGACGGCGGGAGCGGACCACAGGACAGGACGGGAGGGGACCGTGGGAGGGGACGGCGGAGAGGACGGCGGAGGGGACCGTGGAGGAGGACGGCGGAGAGGACATTGGGATAGGATGCGAGGGGACGGTGGGAGAGGACGGCGGAGAGGACGGGAGAGGACAGCGGGGGAGGACAGCGGGATGGGACGGAGGGAGAGGACGGCGCTTCGGTCGGCAGAAGGACAAGAGAGACGGCAGGGATGGGGAGATGATGGGGACGTGAGAGACAGGGAAGGGAGGGACATGGGATGACCTGTTAGCTGGCCTTTCAGTAGCGTCAAGGCAGCACACACAACAGAAGAAGCCTCTTACACTGAGATGCTCACATGCATACATTGCATAGGCAGATTGCGATGCACTTGGATACTTATGCATCGGATATCAGCCAAAAACTCTACGGCAACAATTCAACTAGAAATTCTACCTTTTGTTCATAATTTTGAATGTAATTGTAGGCTAGCGTTGGAACTGGTGCAATAACATTTACCATCGTAGGTTAGATACTACGAAAATAGTTTTCCGATTCCACTCAGTAGTGTATTTTGGTGTAAGACGTCTCTAATCGATCGTTTCGTTCAATCGTGCTATGTCTTCACGGACCACTGATTTCAAAATCCACTAATAACCAGTACCAGCGGGCAGAGTTCCATCAAACTTGGTCCTCTTACAGTTCGCGCTTGATATATAGATCTATCCGAAATCACATCAAACGCACTATTAGTGGAACGGCTTTGAGCGTTGACATCATGACATCATCCAACAGAAATGTAGTGAAAAATTGAGCTGTGGAAGGCACTCTCGATAAAAGCAGTGTGCGTCACACGGTCACTGCTGCGCGGCGACGGTTCGAACCCCCTGAAAAGTCAGAATCGAGAGACACGAAACACTCACCAGCAGCAGAAATCCTCCGAACGCCAGGCAGAATGCCAGCGGTCCGGCCAGGTCCGTGTCCTGCAGGATCTCGGCATTTGTCTGACGGAAGGGGTTCAGCGCCGACAGCGTCTGAAACAGCGCAGATTGAAACAAAGGTCAGCAGAGGGAGGTGGCAGACGGGAACAATGAGGTCGCTTCACGGCGATCGGGAGACAGAGAGGGAGGGGGAAAAGAGAAAGAGAAGGAGAGATGAAGAGAGAGAGAGAGAGAGAGAGAGAGAGAGAGAGAGAGAGAGAAGGAGAGGGAGAGGGAGAGGGAGAGGGAGAGGGAGAGGGAGAGGGAGAGGGAGAGGGAGAGGGAGAGGGAGAGGGAGAGGGAGAGGGAGAGGGAGAGGGAGAGGGAGAGGGAAAGGGAGAGACAGAGAGCGAGGGAGAGAGAGAGAGAGAGGGAGAGAGAGAGGGAGAGAGGAAAATGAAGAAGGGGGGATGATGATGAAGATGGGTAAAATGAACGTACAAAGGAAGGTTGATACGGGCACACAATACGACGAAATGGACCATAAGCTAAGAAAATGATGTTGAGCTCAAATTTTCTTCCCTAAGCGCTGAGTGTTTTCTTTTTCAAGTTCACCCTATGCTTTCAAGCGCATTAGCTTAGCTCGACGAACCATCTACCCACAAGATAAAAAAACAACAGCAGCACAACGGTCCAAAGAGCCGGCACGCATCACATTTATGTAGAAGAAAAAAAAACTAACGACAATTGACAATAGGTATACATTCGTGGATCCGTTCTGACGATGGGTGCACTTCAAGTCCAATTACAAGCACGAGAAAAAGTTTGAGACATATCATCAGAACTCAGTGGCCAGGGATCATATCGACAGGGGAATACCATTGATCGCCATCCCACGCGCGCCGGAGGGCTGTTATGTGACGGGCGATCCGTCACAGTGGACTGGTGGTCACCGGGATACCGTGGGCAGCTATGTCACCCACGTCCCGTCACAGCTGCTGACAGCGAGCGGACGGTGTGGGCGGGGAGAACAGGTGGGAGGGACGGAGGGAGAGCTCCACTGACCGGTCATCAATAGTCCGGTGAAATGGACCCAGCTGACCCCGTCTGACCCCGCCGGCGACAAACGGTCTCCGGTGCCACCGACAGGTCCAGCGCGGGTGAGCTCACTCAGACGAGAAGAAGAGCGATGATTCCCAAAATAACTCGACGGCCTTATTGGTAGGCAGGCGTTCGAGCATGGGTCTTAAGTCCGCCATCCACGTACCAGCATGCAAATTCCTTCAAAGTCGATGAAATAAACAAACTGACAGAAGTGGCGAAGAAATGCTGACTTCAGCCTTCACCGTTACATAGCACAAATAAAATAACCATTCTGAGGAAAAGATTTGCAATCATCAAGATGCAGCCATAAATATTGATTTTACACACAGAGACATTGCTTTCAAAGTCCTTTTATACTCCGTACACGGTTGCAACTGACAGCGACGAAATACGAGTCATGCTTCAGTGCACCTGCAATAGCGACATTGGTGAAGAAATGACTGGATTGCAGGATTGAAACCTAGGACTCTGAGGCCCCTTTTCTTCTCTGTAGTTCTTAGATGGCTGAAATCTGAGCAACTTGCACCGCACGCTGCGGAGAAACGTTGGCGAGTGCCATCCTCAGCCACACCCAACGGGCAGAGATGTTATGAGATGACCTCACATCTCGCGTAAAGTGAATCCGAGGGCCCCAAGGCTCCACAGGTTTATTCCCCGACACCCTATGACCTGACCTGCTTGCGTTATGATTTCGTCAGTCTACTGAGCTGGGACTTCTGTAAGGTCCCATGGCGAGTATATTGCTACAGCAAGCTATCAGCTAACAGACACATTATGCTGAAACTTCCAGGATAAAGCCAAATCTTCTTTTATTCAAAAGAAACTAGACGTGAATTTGACATGACCAACAAGTATCTAATTACCTAAAAAAGGAACACAAATCACAATTCACGCTGACCGTTATCAGGAATCCGCTACAACGAGTTCTCCAAGTGGCACTCCAAGCACCCAGTTTCTACAGAAGAAACGGCGGTCAGCCGCCACCAGCACCTCCGCCATAACCGCGGGCTGTGAGGCGTCAGGGGGCTTCTAAGAGTGCCCGGCCCGGGTCGCGGGATCGGCCGCTCATGAAGCGGACATGTCAATTTGGCGCCTCTGGCCGGCCGAGCGATAAAGTCCGGCTGAGCTGCCAAAGGTCAGTTCCCGGCGGGTCGCCCGTTCGGGGAAGACCGCCTCCGGGGTGCCCGTCCAAAGAGTGGCAGCGTGATCGGCCCGCCTTCGGGAGACCCGACAGATAAAGTAGACCGCAGACCGGCTGAGGGAGCGACCAGCCTGTCACAGTGGCGGTGGGAGCTCCTCCATGAACGGGGGCATACGCCAGATGCCGATAGGTATAACTATCCATAGATAGATGTCAAGGGCAAGGTCCTTCCATGAAAAATCTGCTTTCAGCATTCTGGTGAACCGGAACGTTCGTGGGAGTTGCCCTCGATGTCGGCATCACTGTCTAGTAGCGCGGTTCGATGTAGCTCGCAAGCACGACAGTGATTGAATGGCACCCAAATCTGCAGCATTATTCCGAGAATATTCGAGTACACAATCTTAAATTCCAGAGCAGGCTGAATCGTTCTGATTGCTGTTTGATCGATCCACTGGCTCGATGCACGATGGACAAGTTTCGGCAGGTCATCGTCGTGATGCCGACGAGCGAAATGGTTACGAGAGTGACAGTCGTTTGAGTTTGCATCTTCATTGTAAATTATTTCTCAAGCTGATTAGACAAAGCTGCTGAGCTCAAGCATCGTCACTGTCTGTATCTGTCATAGGTATCTGTAGGTATCTGGTATATTTGTGAGTGAGCTCAAAATAACGGTGAGAATTAGCTAGCAATTGTAAGTACAAAGAAAAGACACTTTTGCACCAAATCACCGGCAATCTCTCTCTGAAAGAAATCGCGACCGGAGTCGTAATGTTGAGCTGCCCGGCATGCTGGCAGTGCGCTAAAGACCAGAACCTCTGGTTATCAGGTCAAGACACTCTCTATTTCTGTAACGGCCCACATACAGGGTGTCTCAAAAGTTCGCTTACACATTTCCCATGTCAATAAAGCATATAAGAACCGGCCAAAAATTTAAGGTTTTGGTGCACTAGACAAATATGCATGCTTTGACAACTGATTCGGAAGGTTGGAAACCAAACCCTTTGCTGTATCTCCAAAAATATTTGCCCATACCGATTTTCGTCACTCCGTCAGCTGCCGGAGGCTGATAAAAAGTTACCAGCTTTCAAGCTCTTGTAGGGGAATCCCCCGGAGTTTCTGCGTCGGATTTAGGTTTGACGAGCTCCCCGGCAACATCCGCTTCTCCCTGAAAGCCGATAGCTTGCATCGACACCATCCGTGAGTATTTTGTTTGTCTTCTCTGGCGCTAACTCCTTCATGAATGACTGGCGCCGACCTCCCAAGCACCATTTTCCTTTTCAAAACAACCCCATTCCTGAACAAATGGGAAGTGCCAGGGGCAAATTTTTCGCAGCATATCGTAGCAGAATGTGTCGGCCATCTGTTTCTTAGACACATTTTGCAAAATTTGCAAATCCCGAACGCTCGTCATTCCCAATGCCAAGACCTTCGCTGGGTTCCGGAGTGTTTTCCTCAGGAGAGGTTCTGCTTCGTAAACGGCCAAAACCTGTCCATCGTGCGGTTTTGTCCGGATTTTGTGTGTAAAAGAAAGCTATTTGCTCCAGATCTGCCTCTTGAAACTTCGTTAGATAAAACTTTACATTAATTGACACTTTTGCAGGGTCACTTGTCCTCGGCATTGACGATTTTCGCAATATTTTCCCTCAAAATTTAGCGCTATAGATATTATAAACAATTTTAAACGATATTCTGTCTTTATTTTATGATGACTTGCAATTTTTGAAACTGGGTAACCTCTGTCTGTGAGCTTCTAGTCAGTTTTCAATAGTTAGGACTGCATTTTCAGCTGCTTTCCGGAGCACGAGTCTGCTGCGGTACAAGGGTCGTTCAAAGCGCTGTTAGTCTCGCATGGTTTTGTCCTTCAAAAATTTTAGCCACCGTTTTTATTAGATGACCATCATGTTGTACTCATCCTCGCCGACACTTTGCCATGTGTCATTTCCGACCTAACCATTCCCATTACTCGTGAAGCAGAGAGTTTCTCAGCCGACCCGAGTATGCGACCTCCATTTTCATGCCTGATCCATGGTCAGAGGTGAACCCTTTTTGTGTGCTCATGAAGGGTCGAATGCGCTTGAAAACAATGAAGCTGCTTGAGGAAGGTTGTTACCAATTCCCATGCAAAATTTCGACTGTTAATTTCATGTTGATTCAGAATTATTGACAAAAAAGCATGGCTGGTACCTGTAAGCGAACTTTTGAGACACCCTGTACATCAGTTAACACGAAAGAGGCACCATGAACCCTGTGCGCTAAAGTTAAGAGCGACTACACGGGAAAATTCGGCGAACTCGGCGCTCGGATTTCATTTCAGGCTAGTCGGATGACTTATTGAGCGAAGGCGGTAATAAACGGTCCGGATTCATACCAGCTGAGCGGACTGAATGGTGGCCGGGAGTTTCATGAAGACCCGAGTTGGAAAAAGTCCTCCCATTCAGCTCTGGGTACGCGCAACTTTGAGACGCTCAGCTGTTTGTGTCCAAAGAGCTGATGATAAGTAGGACAGAACAACGGTGAATAAAACAGACGGAAAGTCACGGTCTTATTGAATTATTTCACCTTAATTACTTTACGAAATAGAATGTTCCACAACAATTTTCAATTTCATCAAAGAACAATATTCTCAATATGTAAGGGTGAGGGTAATGAAGGCACACCCTAGACTTCACAAATTTGGTACAAAGTCCTCAGTACGCTTTGCTAGAGCAAAAGTAAAACACATGGGAACAAAGTCGAGGTTCTCGCTAACATTAGAGGCTGGCACAAACAGTCAGTGATCGGGAATTTCTTCTCTAAAGCTGGAAGGTATTTTTGCATGTTTGCCACTTTGATTCCCAAAATCGCTTTCGAGTCGACACAACCAAGGGTG